GCACCGCTTGGCGAATGGCGGATGATGTCACTCTGGTATTTATCTCGGTGGTCGATGTGTCTGTTGTAGTCCTGGTCCTCTAGTCTTCCGTACATACGGACACTTTCTTCAGCATTTACTTCCATTGGGGTCTCGGCTGAGCCGAGCGCTGCTACACACACGACAACTAATAAAAAATTCTGAAAGTAAATATTATTATTGTTAACGTGATTGTCCAAACAAAATTGATGAAAAAATATACATGTAAACTGGATATTTTCAAAGGAGTTTTCTTTTATGTAAGTTTAGGAAGCAAAGTCAACTGCCAGTTTAATTTATATTTTAGAATTCAAAAGGGATTATATGGATTTCTTTGCGTTACCCACGTACTATTTTTGTAAAAAATCTCTTCATAAGTTTCTGCTGACGTTTATTGTGCCGAAAACAAAATAAATTACATAAAACAATGAGAATAGAAAAAAGGCACTTTTAAATTCGATGTGTCTCTAGGGACAGAGTCAGCCTATTATGAAATATCTAAAATTTTTGAAATTTTATCTGAATTATTATTTTAACTTATATTTAATAATACATAGAGTATTTAATAAATTTGTTTTATTAAAAGAAGAAAAGAAACATATAATAAGTGAAACATAATTAAGTTACTACTGTAAATATTGTAATTGTACTTGTTACTTACTAGATGCATGATTTCAGTTTCGTGGCCAACATTCAACTGGCTTTATTCAAATGGTAATATTTATAAGTACTGCTGGAATAATTATGTAAAACTATATTTATACCGGATTCGTATATAATTATCCTATTACTCTTATACGTTTTGATGTTTTTATATAGGTCAACCTTGTTAATATCTAATCAATGTACATTAAAATATTGAAATTTCTAGACTGAATAGAAAATGAATTAATTTATTCATCATTGACTGTTAAAATAATATCATGTGCTTATTTAAGTTTATTTTTTTAATAGCACCGACTGCAAATTTAAAAAAAAGTGAGAAATAATACATATTTTAAAAGCAACTTAATTATTTAAGAAACTGCTTTTTGAAGGTTTTTGAATTTCCAAATCGTTTTTAAAATAACTGTTATGTCTTACTTTTTAAAAGCTTAAAGTCGGTTCTATTCTTCGAAAACAAATTGGTTCATGATTTTTAGTGATAATATTTTTCTACACTAAAAATATTAAATAGCTATTTAAAAAAAATGACTAAATGAGAGTCTTAGGAAAGGAGATTTGGTTTATTTGTTTAGGAAATATTTTTGCATTAATTAGGTTTTGAAACTACCTTGCCTTGTTAGTATATTAACATGCCATCTATATATTTTGGCGACCATAAAATGTGGAATAAAAAAAGAATTTTGAAAATAAGTCAACATACATAAAAAAAAAATACATCACCGTCAAACATATAACTCCTTCTTTTCGATTTTGAAGTCACTTAATTTAAAAATCTATACTATAATAAAAACGTAACCGATCGAAGTCTGTACATTGAAGATATATGAAAAAAACTGTTATGAGGGACATTTATAAGCATAATAGAACACAAAACAATGATTTTTAAATTTTTTGTCTGTTTGACGGTTTGTCTGTGCGTTTGTGCACGATAATCTCAGAAACGGCTGAACCGATTTAAATGCAGTTTTCACTATTATATTGCGGGATTCTTCCGTTAATATTTAGTGTAAGATTTATTTCAATTGGGTCGGAAATAAAAAAGTTATGTCAATTTGAAGTGACGTGTTCGCCATAATTGCTATGAAATATTAACTGTTTTATTAAATTTTCGTCTTTGATATATTGAAATTTTAATGATTATTGATTATTATAAACTGCAGGGCCTCAGGCCTTTGTTTAATAATATTTGGTCACCCATCCCGTGAACAACTCTTGCGTAAATTGCTTAGCAATATCGATCGTGCGCAACGGCGCTTATCCGTAGCGCCACTGAGCTACGAATTAATATTATTTATAAAATGATAATTTGTATGATGAAAAATAAAAAAAATAAGATTCCAAAATTTTGACAACTCCAAAGTAAGTTGACCTCATTTATAAATGGCCAATGATATTATATAGGGTTCAGCTTATAATGGACGTGTGGTATACGAACACACGAGTAGGAGAACAAGCGAAAAGAGCCATCCGATGATGCAATTAAGCATCGAGTAGTCAGTGAACGCGTATTTTTATCAGATTAGGTTCACGTCGTCGTCGGGGCCAGCAGAGGTGGTTAGCAGCCGCCCCCGCATTGCACGGTTTCATCTGTCTGGGAGAGGCACTCGACTTACCCGAGCCTCTCCAATTTTCCATCTGCAAGGGGACTAATGATCCAATACTAGAGTGTTCTGGTGACGCGGCCATAGCTTGCCGGGTTTCATCTCCCATGAGACGGTGTAGTGTACGTGTTTTGGTGGGTAGGCCTCTGGGGACCCACTGGGCAGTTCACTATCGAGTTCACAGAGGAGAATCCTACTCACCCCCTGTTGCAAGCAACAGAGAAGTAGCAGAGACAATGTCAGAAGCTTTTCCACGACGTTAAAAAAGTTAGATTCTCGTCAACTGAAGTTAAGAACATAAAGACAACTCGAGTTATATATTTTTTTCTCTTATTACTATATTGTATATTAATACTCATTTTGTTTTTTTTTTTAACATATAAATTGCTGTAGATACGTACTTCAAAGTTGGTATTTTCAGTCTTCGCCGGAAACAATGGTTTATTCATTGGTACAACACATATAATATAACGCGAGTCTGAGGATCGGTTCAGAGTAGCTCGGTGGCGTAGTGTATAAACGCAATGGCTCGCGATTGTAGTTGTTAAGCAACTTTCGCTAAGTCACAGGATGGGTGACCAAAAAATGTTATCTCAACCAACTCCATGCTTTGGAAGGCACGTAAAGCGATTGGTCCCGGTTGGATTTGCAGTCGTTAATATCCTCCAATTCGCATTGGGCCAGCAGGGAGGGTCGTGGCCCATTCTCCTTAATCCATAAGGCTCCTGTAGTTGGTGACGTAAAAGGGCTGATGGTTATAATGAGAGTCGTTGAAATCTGATGGAAGCTCAGCTAAGCATCTCTCAGAAGTATGTGTTAGTAGACGATTTCCTTCGAGTGTGGACAGTCTAAATTAAAATATGTATGTAAGACAGACTTTTATTGACAAAGAAAGAGATCGGACGGAAAGCGCTCGGTCTCGGGAGACACCTGAAAAACGCGAAGCGTATTTAACTACCCATCGCCAGGCTCAGGCACTATAAAATTGAATCTCAAGCATTTACCGTTAGGGATAATCTCTTGAGCTCTCGGAGAACTCATACAACAAGCGTTTGATCTCCGGAAACTTCTGAAGATCGCATAGCGCGTCTAACTGCTGATCGTAACATACATGCAGTATGGTATGAGTATGAAACTTCCTTTAATAGAAAAATGCGCTTGGTCTCTGAAAGAGCTCGCAGTTTGCACAACAGAGCTCGAGAAAGTAGTTTCGATTATCGCCAACCCGTTTTGCCTTCATACTCCACAGGCGTACCGCAGATTGGTTTTCACAATGTATAATGAACTAGCTGTTTTCCCGCGACTTTGCCGCAAAATTATAGCCTATAACATCCGTGATTTAGCTTCCCGAGGTCGGAATCGCTCTGAAACTATCGGTCCAGTATATTTGGGGCAAATTCGATGCAAACAAACAAACAACCAAATCTTTCCTCTTTATAATATTAGTATATCTTAGGTATAAGAGGTCCGATGGCGTAGTACGTTAGCGCATTAGGTTTAAATTGCAGTGAAATAAATAAGTAAAATACTGCACAACAAGGACGTACATGAATACTTATTTTACATAACTAAGTACAAACGACAAACTCATCGCTAGCAAGCGATTTCTTCCAGGCAACCTAGCATTACATGGAAAATAGAACAATAAATAGCTGCACAATCGGCTAGACAACTAGACAAATAATATTGATTTAAAAAGATCAAAAACAAAAGAAGGACAGTTTCAAGGTACGAATAAAATTCTCAGACACAAGCGCCAACCAGAGCGCGAGAAACGAGAAAAAAGATAGACAAATTACATTCGTAAGGACAGGATGGTTGACCAAAATATTATTCTTGAGCATTGTGCACAACACTGGCACAATGTACGTTAAGCAGTTAGTCCTGGCTGCATCAGCAACGTTAACACCCACCGATCCGCATTAAGCCCGCATAGTGGGTTATGGCCCATTGATCTTATTCGATTCGACTTCATCCATAGGAATAAAAGAATTTTACCAAAATACTTCCCACGCAGACGAAGTTGCGGGCACAGCTAGTAATATAATAAAGAGGTATAGTTTCTAACTCTAACTTTAGAAGTAGCAGGTATATATTTTAATTAATTTTCGTATAAGTTACTGAACTATTAAATCCTGCAATTTTGGTATAGTACGAGTACATTAGGAATACTTTGCTAGTAAGATAAAATAAATCCTATCGGCATTATTTAGGTGTTCCAAGTTTTATATATTAAAAATATCTTGTTTCCTTTATTATTAAATGATTATGTTATCATTATAAGACCATAGTTTTTTTTTGCTCTCTCTATTTATAATGTATTGATCTGGTAATGACATGGTTTTTGTAAAAGTCATTAGTCATTATTAGAGCTGGCAAGAACGAACAAGAAACTCATTCTTGCTTGTTCTTATTATCAGCCAAAAGACGTCCTGAACGAGTGGTAGGGAAAAAAATGTTGGACGATTCATTAGTACTTTTAAGAAGCCTATTTGAATAAATATTATTTTGACTTTGACATTATTTTTTTTCCATTAAAACCTAAAGTTCTCAAAGAAATAAATAAAATAACGTATTGTTAATTGTAAACAAAATTTATTTAACCTTAATATTGAGGCTCTTCTCAAAGTCCTGTATTTATTACCCCATTCTAAATACGATACACAGCAAAATAAATAGATAGTTTGCGACAATCCAGAAGTTATAATACTGAAAATCTTTATATGAGCATTTTCTTGCTTTTTAAGAAAAGAGATGGTGGAATAAATATAAGTTGTTGTTGTGTTGTTTGTGTGAAAAAAAATTCTGAGATCATTACACTTTATATACTATATAATAATATTAATTGATGTTTCTTATTATAGTACGTAGAATAACTATCACAATTTAGTATTTAATTAACATTTCATCCTAAAAAAATCCTACTTATAAACTAATGGAGGTGAGGGTGGTGATAGTTTTCTATAGTTTTATGATGGCGGGGTGTGTAGACTGGCAGAATGGGAATAGTCATATGGTGCGGATTTACATTGTGCTCATGTACAGGTTGATGCGAGATAATACTTTTTTCTTTATGTTCCGGGTTTTTCACATGATGAGGCTTAAGAATTGGTGCTGTCACACGATGGGGCCCTATTTTTTGCCCGTATACTGGTTTTCGCGGGAGAATATATTTTTCTTCATGTATTGGCTTTTCCTCATGGTGAGGCTTTAGAATCGGTACTGTCACACGGTAGGGTTCTACTTTGTGCTTGTGTTCTGGTTTATGCGAGACAATATGCTTTTCATCGTGTGTTGGCTCTTCCTCATGGTGAGGTTTTAGAGTCGGTACTGTTACATCGTCTTCCTCGTGTTCATGTACAGGTTTAACTAAGTCAGTATATTTTTCTCCATGAGGCGGCTCTTCTACATAGATAGGTTTTTCTTGCCATTTGCCGCTATCAATTTTGGGCGACTCAGGTTTGTGCTCTGGTTTACCTTTATGTTCGGGTTGAATATGTTTTTGTTCAACATTTTTTTGTTCAGTTTCAGTTTTGTGGTCATTCTTGTGTACAATTGACTTGTGATCAGGTTGGATATGCTCGTTTTGAGGTTGGGAGTATTCGACATGCGCTTTGAATCTGAAATATAATAAAAGTTCGTTAGCATTGAAGCTGACAGCGAGAGAATACTAAATTCAATAAGTCTGTTTTCTAAGTTTGCTACATGCAATAATAATGTCCGTTATTTTTGAAAACTAATCAGTAGAATATACTTATGAATAACTATTCTAGCTGAGCAGTAGAACTACAGGATTGTTATATGAACATATTTTGATTACCTTGTTAGCACTCCAGCTTTCAGAAACAGTAGTAGACTTTACTGAGTGGCATTAAGTTATATTCTTAATAAAATGAAAGTTATATTTTTACACTAACATGTTTAAGTAGAATATTTCTTTTAAGCAGTATTAATACAGTGTGTTCCTAGGCCAGGTAATGACACAGAAAAAAAATATGTGAGCGTCGAAAGAAATTTATATGTATCGCTATCGACAGACCTCTGAATTGTTTCTCGAAGTACTGGGTCTTGTGTCATCATAGTTCATTGACCTCATCCCGTACAACAATAAGTATTTTTCCGCGATAACGATAAAGAATTATATGGGTAGCGATACGTAGTGTTTCATTTCAACGTTCAAACAATACTTCGGTAAATTAAACCGGTGCTAGTTGAAGATATGAAGATTATTAATCGATGAAAGGAATTCATAGGTGACACTTCATCTTACCCGTCGTCTTTGTTGGCGTGATAGGTGACGGTTCTTTTACGGCCATCAGGCTGGATTAGCCAGTACTTGCCCTTCACCTCATCATCATGTCGACTTTCTTCTTGACCCTTTATGTCATGAGTGTGTTTATCCTCCACGAAGTATGAGAACTCATAGGCTGGATACGCCCAAGCCTGCAATTAATGACTCAAAAATATAATCTATTTGTGAAACTTATTGGAGTCATCTACCCTATTGATCGTTATGCCTAATAGGATCCAGGATTGTATTTGTGTTTACAAATGCATCCATCATAAATCATTAAGAATTAAAATGGCGACTTCATTTTGATTTAAAAAAAATCTACAGTTTCATGAATCGGTAATTTTTCTTTAATTTTTATCAATTAATTCAATAGGTATACATATTTTTGACAAAGCTTATGAATTAATAAAAATTTGAAGTCTCAATAAAAATCTCAAATACTTATTAGATAATAAGGAGATTAGTTGTTTTACTTATTTAAAACAGAAAAATAATGAGATTACCGAAATGTCATTAGAGTACTGTAATATATATATTATTAAATTATATACGTATGTTTGTGTACTTACGTATTCTTCATGGTTCTCGGGTGTTTTATCTCCGATGTGTCCAAGTTCGCCATAGTACCTCACCACTTTTTGACCAGATATCGCGTGGCCATTGACCCAGCCACAAAAGGCTATGCCAAACAGCGATATAATCTGTAAAATCACAAATGTTACTTGAGTGTTTAGGTGAGAAAAAAAAATTAATTTGAAGTTTTTTTTTATTTGAACACTTGTTGATAAGTTTTATGACTATCACTTATAGGTATGCACTTTTATTTTGAATTAATAAATCACCTTAAAATTCATCGTTGTAAAGATTTAGTTGGCTCTTGTTGCAATGATAAATCTTCATAATCTCGAGAAGTATTTATACTATTTTTGTTATAGATATGAATGCACGGTAGAGACTCCGCCAAGTTTAAACTTTGATAATATCATATTCAGTGATTAACTATATAATATTCACTCAAAAAATTGTTAATCTAGATTATATTGATGTTTTCACACCGAGTGATTGGGTGTTTGTCAAACTAAGTAGTCATTTTTAGTAAAGTTGTATAAAGTATCAAAACTTTTTCAGTATATATACGTAAATTAGCAGAGCTAATTATTTGCATTATATATAAGCTAATTTACACTACAGCAAAATAATTCATTGCGCATTCCCTTTATAAAAGTAACACATGACGAGGATACAACTCTTTTTTGATTTTTATACTTACCTTAAATTTTTAAAATATTAAATAACATAATTTTTAAACGCTTATAAGAGACTTGGCTCAAATCAAACTCTAGTAGTAGCACCCAAATTATTGGTTTCCTCTATTGAGAACGCATAAGCAATTGAGTTTTTCTGCTTTAATTATGTGCACTTTTTTTCGAATTATCTGACAGATGCACATTATCTTATCAAATATATTTCTAATAATAGACGGAAAATAGTGTTATAATTGTTACTTTAAAAAATAACAGAAGTTATTACCATTGTTACTGATATTTAATTTAAAAATGTTATTTTTAATAAACTTAAGATTAATTATTTTAAATTTCTAATAACTGTAAAGATGATACTAAGGAGCAAAATTAAAAATGTAAAAGAAATTCAGAAATTATAATATGAGAAGTGTTGGAGTTTTTATTGTTCTTTCAGTAGTGGTTAGTATATACAATAGTTACTTGTCACTATTTGAATGAATGAAAAAAGGACTGATGTATTGTTTTAAGATCTCATATAAAATATCCCCAAAATCTGTTTTTTTTTTTCAAAATGTGTGACAAAAGGTGATTTTACCTGCCTTAGGCCTACTGCCTGCCTGCCTACCTTTGCATATTGTCAGCTTGAGCTTTGCGAATTACGATCACGACTAGGCGTTTACATGTTTGTAAAGCAAAGAAGAAAATGCGGTAAAAAAGTTCGAAGTCAACGTAAAAGAAGTCTCTAAGCAGAAGAATATCATATGGATATAAGTAAATTCTTTCTAACAGATTATTCATAGGCTATGTTGTTTTTTGTAAACTGTCTGAAATTTTGAGTAATTATAACGCCTGGTCTATACTATAAAGCAATGTTGCGTTGTAATAGCACCGCTTGAAATATTAACTTCTTATAGGTTGAAAATGTTTTTCCTACCTTCAACGTTTATTTTATTTATACGATAACGATAATATGCTAGTTAAATAAATTCAATAAATGAAACTATTTACTTTTGAATATAGTTATAACCAGTCCATATACGTTGTTAGACTAGTCACAACACAACTAGCTAGTCTAAAATTTTACGACAGCTTTGGAAACTTCTTTGGAGAAGCGGTTTATAATTTTTTATTTCTTTTGTCGGCTTTATAGATACTATTGCTGTCTTTTTTTCTATTTGTTTGTAATTACATCAAAGTGTTTAAAAACATATATTTTTCTTGCGATTTTATATTTTTTAATTGAATAAGGCTATTGTTAATAAACACTGATTAATCCATAACAGTATCTATATATGGTTCCTCTTTTTAAGAATTTTTAAACTCAATAATAAAAGACGCTATTACATCACTGAAAAGTAAATTTAATTTTATAATAAATTTAGTAATAAAATATTTAAATACAATGAAAAAAATACAATGAAATGGAAATGACTCAATTCAATGGCTCAGTTTTTTCTATTTTAAGAAGGCGTAATGTCTTATGTTCTTTTCTCTGGTCGATTCCTAGTCGGATTATTATATTTTAGATAATGAAATTTTAGTGATAATTCACGGGTTTAGATTGTCTTAATAGTTTTGTTTTTTTTTTTAATTTCCTCAACTATAGATTTCCTCCAGTAAGAATTTGAGCCTGTAATGTTGTTTGGTATTTATTTTATACTTGAAATAAAAAGTACAATAGTTTAATAGGATAGGTATATAAGAAACAAAAACAATTCTTGTAATATTAGCGCCAATATTTTTATTTGCATTGGTAAAGTATATTTAATAAATGTTGAAAAGTGCTGGCTTAAATCAGTCTTATGAGAGATGACGATCCAAAGTGCTGATGTCACATCAGAAGCTCCTAAATTAGATGTGATGATGATGGGCCAGATGAACATGATGATGAGGCGATGAATGGTGGACGATGGCATTGAATCTAAAATAAAAAAACGAATCATCTTTATTACTGAATACAAAAACACATTTTATTTGCAAGTAAAGTCTAGGAATGTTTAGATCTATGATGGAGGCATTTGACCGGATGTTATCTTGAAGGGGAATCAAACAAAATACACCATTAGGTTTATAGAGGAGATTCTACTTCTAAAAATACTGAACGTTCGTCGGAGTAATTTATGGCTATGTTGATTGACAGATAATGAATGAATCTTGTTGGCTGGGAGCTTGATTGCAGTCATTGCAGTCTTGACGTGGACAGGTTGCTAATCTAAAATGTAAGAAATACCTTTCTTACGCCAGTTTTACATTATGATACAACTGTGTTGTTCTTAATAGCCTACAATAGTTAAAACGCCCATATCCACCACTGATGAAAGCATTCTCTTTGTTATGTATTCTTGTAAATGTAATGTCTCTTTCTCTCCCTTTCTTCAGCTCCGGATGAAAATCTTCTTCATTTTACGCTATTCTTCATGATCTTGTGGAACTCATACCCACTTATTCCAATAGTCATTTTTATATCGTCATCGAGGTCGCTCGAAGAATCCAACTCGGCTGGGCAGCGTTCGGGAAGCTACGCGATATCTTCACGTCCAAATTACCACAGTGCCTAAAGACGAAGGTGTATAACCAGTGTGTGTTGCCAGTGATGACCTATGGCACTGAAACGTGGTCCTTAACTGCTGGCCTCTTAGAGAAGCTCAGAGTCGCTCAGCGAGGCATGGAGAGAGTTATGTTAGGGGTTTCTTTGCGCGATAGGATCCGAAACGTGGATATTCGCCAAAGAAGAAGAGAAGTGGCAGTGGGCAGGCCACATCGCTCGACGAACCGATAACCGATGGGGACGAAAGGTTCTCGAGTGAAGACCACGAACCGGAAGACGCAGCGTGGGTCAACCCCCGACTAGATAGACGGACGACATCGTCCGAGTCGCGGGCGGCCACTGGATGCAGCTGGCGCAATGTCGTCCTTCGTGGCGTTCAAAGGGGGGGGCCTATGTTCAGCAGTGGACGTCTTCCGGCTGATGATGATGATGATGATATCGTCATCCCTACGCGTCTGAGGCCTTTCTCGATGACGCTTTTAGCCTCATGGTTGCCACTCAAGCACGCTTGTTTGAAGAATAAGTTCAGCGTTCAATAACACATGCCCATTCCTAATTCACTCTAGCTGACTTGACTTGATGACATCACTGCAAGATCACTGCTATTGTTAAATGTTATGTTGTATCTTTGTATAGAGTTTACGCACCCTGTATGATCATCAGCTTTGTATTCCACCTTCCTGAACCTGCCGTCGGGTTCGACCAGTTCATAACCTCCCTTCACTACGTCTCCATGACGGAACTCGTGCTGCGACTTCACGTCACCAGTGTGGTGGTCGTGTACGGAGTATGCGAATTTGTATTCAGGGAATGCCTGCGGGAATAAATAAATACTCATTAATATAATAATAGAGCTGAGCTACCTGAATAGACTAATGACAGTAAGAGGCATGGGGAATATTGTGATATTTTTAATTACGCTAAGAAATTTCGCAATGTAAGTCTTATTACGTGTACTGAAAAATATTAAATGTGATTTTCTTTAATTATTACCAAAACTTTTGGTGTAAAGAAACACTAAAACTTTCTCCTCGTCTAGTCTTATTGAATAAGCCAGCCAGGTTTACAGCGATTTGAAACTATATTTTTTAAAACATCATAAAACAACGTCGTGTATGTTTTTCTCATTTATGTACATTTAAACCAAACTGTAGTACATTTGCAAGATTTCATAACTAAAAGGATATGAAATATTGACTTCATTATGTAAGCGACTTCATGTTAATTGCAAATAGATTACGTTTTAGATAAGTTCGAAATAGGGACAGATTAACATTTTATAGCATTAAGCTGTTAAAAGCTGAGACATTTATTTTATGTGATGCGTTTAATTACTTTTGTTAAAATTTTTCTTATGAGACGTTTTATATAAATGATATGAGGAGATTGACAGTGCAGTGTACTTTCATAAGGCCCCATCATAGGATAGGTGATCAAATATCTGTTAGCTCAAGCTTTTCTCTTCGGTGATGCTAAGGTACGTTAAGCCGTTTGTATAGGCTGCATCTGCGGTCGTTAACACGCACTAACTGGCCTCTTCTGGTGGTTTATGGCCCGTTTTCTCTATTTGATTATATCCAGGGAATGCTTATGCTTCAACAGTGGAGACATGACGATGAGTCCTTCTCCAAGTTTAATTATATTTCATATAGATATTTCCGATTTTATATTAAATAGCCCAGTGTTTTAAACGTGAAAATACATTGTTACTTTCGCATTTATAGCAAAAGTAAGCTTAATATATGTACTCACATAAAGGTCATGGTGTGGTATATGTGGGACGTGATGGGGTATCGGTATGTGTGGAACATGCGGAACGTGATGGTGCAGCAGCGGTACGTGATGGATCGGCAACGGCACGTGTACCGGATGATGAGGTCCGTCGTGCTTCTGGAAGTCCTGGTGGGAAACCGCAGGATGGTGATGGTGATGGTGAAAGAATGGCAATATCGCCTGGCATGCAGATGCCAGTGCGAGGACAGTCAACACCTGTAAATTGAAATAAAAATAAATATTTGGGGAATATGATAAGATAATATTACATAATACTATCAACGTAATTGTAAAGTAATCTTGCAAAGCTCTTAAAAATGAGTAGAACATCCGTATATGGCATTCATCATGGAAGAAATATCGGTGGTTTATAACCATTTATAACATTGCTATAAGATAAAAACCTTTGTAGTCTGTTTAGCTACTTTTCATGTATTCATTTACTTAAATAATATCAAGAGCAGCGCAAATCCAATAGAAGTCCCTGTTAATATCATTGTGATAGTGGATGGAAAATTCCGTGTCACAATTTTTTATAATGAATAAATCTTTACACCACATTGGTCCACATTACAAGTGTCACTCTAAATGAAATTCAGAAGTCACTAATTAAGTGTTATACCTACTGTATGTTACCTATATAAGACAAATATTAATTAGATATCGTCACAGATATTAACCAGGATACAGGAGATCAATTTTGTAGCTTTAAAATCGAATTGATTTTTGTGAGTTTCCACATAAGCTGGTATTATTTAGTTAGGTAATGCACTTTAATATGTATATTTAAAATTTAGTTAGTTATCAATCACATTAATAATTTTTGAATTGACAAAACTTACTCTGGACAGCATCTTGATTCTAAAGACAACAGAAATAAACTGTCTCCAAGTTAGAACTAGATACAATAGTGCACCACTTTTGGTTCATTAGTTTATATAGAGGTTTATAATTGTGGGAATTATTGGAGCAAAAATCAATTTCTCAGGGTTTGCTAACAGTAGTATCGTAATATATGTGTACCAATGTTGCACTTAGGTTAGAGAATAATTTATGTCTCAACACATTATTTTTTAGAAATGTCTAAGTCGCAGTCTTTACATGTACGCGGTTTATATTATCTATACGACCATCACAGCGTAGTGCCTGTTTGGTCAATATTCGGATATGACAGAATAAGTGTTGAAAGATATCGTGGTCAGCGAGACCTTTAATACGGACCTCATTAAATAATAGGTATAAGGGTTTGAAAATAAAAAAAAGATAATGAAATAAAGAACAGGATTGCCATTATCTAACTAAAAATTAAAGAAACAAGTTGTATTCTGGCTTCGTTAAACACAATTCTCATTGCAGTCAGTGGACCTCTTAGATCCACAAAACTGTTTTAATTTCCATATTGTTATAATTGAAGGAATATGATTTTCTAATGACGTCATACATCCGCCGTATTTAATTAAAAAAATATATATATATGTATAGCCCGTGTTACTTGGGATGATGTAAGGTTTCTAAACTCTATTCAATCGTCCGTTCAGTTTTCAAAGGTTGTGGTTGTTGTGGTTGTGGTTGTTGACCACACAAAGGTTCTGTGGTCATCAAGTAACTGTTTATAAAATAAAATTGCTATTTTAATATATGTGTATTAAAATAGCGGTTCTATAGTAACAATGTTGATTCGGCAATTTTTAAGCTTACATTATGTTATATATATATGTAGGAATATATTTAGGTTAGTTAGATTCTTAGAAAAAAATCACAAGTTAAAAGAAATTTAGATTTTTGTCATATGAATTGTACACCTAACGTAATTGCTGTTTGTTACCTAAGTAGGTAACTATGTTAAAACAATAGGCAACTAAATATAATGGTCATATAAATTAAATTCTTATATAATTGTATATCTTTTTGTAATTGAAATAGTTGTTTCACGTTAAAGTAAAAGTAAAATCTATTTGACGATGTGAAAATGGATTTAGAATTTTAAATTCGAAGCTCAAATTCATTAATATCGTAAATTAATTTGGGATAATATTGATTCGGTCGCAATATCTAAGCTTACACTATTGTGATATGTATTTAGAAATTTTGAAAAAAAAAAAAATGCTTGAATATATAAAATTTGGAGTGGTTATATTTTATAGCGCTTTGTAATAGAAGAGTAGAAACATGCGTTTGCTTTGTGTGAACATTTGACAAGAGAAGGAAATTTAATTATCATATTGTACAATTATTAAGGTCTAGAAGAAGAGATAATGCTGATATGCCACAAGTATCACATTTAGGGATTTAAATTTTTTACAATGTTGGTTAAAACTGACCACACTTAAATATATTATGAAGACGACAAAAACTTTCAAAATCTTCCACGACACCAGGGAGTTTGACTACGTTTATTATTCATACATATAAAAAATTGTCACATTACACTTTTTGAATTTTATATACACTTTGGACATCCAGCAGTTTACTCTCGACAACTCAAATACTTGTTCTCGTTTTTAATCTACAAGGTTTTTTGATTAAATGCCCGCAATACAGATAACATCGAATTGTGTGATTCATTAAACTTAAAACGAGGTTTTTATAATTGCAACAGGGCACTAAACACAAAAATAGCAACCTTGATCATTAGAATTAGAAATAATGGACACTATTTTGTTTTTCGTGCATTTATTTAAAAAATAATACTTTAAAAATTTAGACATATCCGGGATTACATTTATATAATTACATATTTTTGCAGTGTATTTTTAAAATAATAATTTCACGTTACATCACCAGCCTTTTAATGTACCCGCTACTGGGCTAGGCCAGGGCTAGGCCTTTTCAGGGCTATAGATGGAATCGAATAAAATCGCATAGAGACAACAGGCCATGGCCCACTAGTGCAGGTTGTTGGGTATTAACACCTGCAGATATAGCCGGGACCAACGGCTTAACGTGCCTTTCGAAGGCGGAGGAGCTCCTGATAGTAAATTTTTGGTCACAAGTTGCTTAGCAAACGTATCGCAGTTCGACCGCCCTAACCACTGCACTAAATACTTTGCTGAGGCGGTGAACTCTATTAGGACACAAGTTCTAGTTCTTCAAGTTCTATTTTAGCTGGAATTGTATCGTATGTTACTTTGTAGAATTAAAAAACCATTAAAACTGTAGTTTCGTTCGGTTTCGATCCGTTTTCGATTCGATTTAAACAAAATTTATTTAGTAGAATTGGCCCCGAGGACTCTAATAATCAACACATTTCGTCATATATTACAAGCTGTAATTATGACAAGAATTCAGCTAATAATCAGTAGAATATTGACCCAATCATGATTTGAAAGGAAATGCATATGTACCTAACTTTATATATTTTTTGTTGTTATAGTAATTAACGTTTTAATGAAAGATTATAGAATGGAAATCTGCTACTTTGGTACTCTTAGTAATTGTTACACTTATTGATTATGATTTATGATTCAATATTATATTATTATTAATACAACCTATGAAAGTCATCGAATATTCAATTCTTGTTGTGAGACTAAATGTTTTTAAGAGTAAAACCTCTTTAAACAGATCTTGTTTGAAAAAAAATACTATTCCATTTTTAAATTTAATCAGATGATATATATTTATATTGATGATGAATTATGATCTGTACAATGATATTATAGTTGCATATTTTATACGTTCGAGTGAATAAATCAGTACCTTCAGTAAATCAACGAGGTGTAATTGGTAATGGATATAGTTATCAATTGCTCATTTCCTATCTTATAAAATCTGTATCGAACACGCGATAACACTCAGCTAAGTCAGTCAATTTAGATAAGGTAACGCCTGTTAATGTTCGATTAAACCCGAGTTTCTTTTTAGCAGGATACGTTCAAGGTTCACTTAGTTTGGAAGGGGTTTTTAAACGTGATCATTTAAAATATAAACTGAATACAATGTGAGTTTTTAATTCAAATGAGATAAGAATCATCGAAATCAGTGGACTCTGTAAAACTACTCGCATTTCCCCACGTTACGCTCAAAGATTGAAATCACCCATTGGGCGAAAAAATTGATCACAACGCATTGTGGTCACAGTAAAATATATATGTGAGTGTGATATTATTACCCATAGTGAAATTCGTGTTATGGAAGTCATGCTATTCGACCACAACACGTTGTGGCAATGAAGAAGAACCATATCTGATTAGGTTAGGTTAAGTTAGCAAAGTTCACTAAGCGAGCGTGCCGGCGAAGTGCCAAAAGCGAATCACTTTTGTAAAATGAAACAGCTAGTTAAATTAATTAATGTTCAGAACGCGTCGTAGCTTTTCTTCATTGCCATAACGCGTTTAGCTCGAATAGCATGTCAGCCACGACACGAATTTCGCTATGTGGTTATTCTGCGATTGTCATAACGCGATGTGAACTTTTTTTCTCTCAATGAGCGATTTATATCTTTGTGAATATGAATATACACATACCACTCATATAAGATTAAAAATTCGTCAGTAAGTACGTTTTCCTGTCACATACATTGTTCAGATTCATAATTTAAATTGTCGTTAAAGCTAGCAAGATGTAGGCAAGTTCATTTTCTGTATTAACCTAAATCGAATCTGGGAATTAAGAGATGGCGACACCTTGAAACCGGCGTGCTAGCCGCTCGACCATGGCATTCAAAAATATGAGAATATGAAAATATGAAATAATAATATGTTTGAATATAATGTTTATTTATGTTAGCGAATAACTATATTATTCAGGGTGTCTAAATGCGACCTCCCATTCCTCCTATAAATTTTATTATAATGAATGTACCTCAATCTTATTGAAATTACTTTCGTTTTTAAACGACTCGTACCGATGCGTGACGGATCGTGGCCGCGACATTGAACGTGCGATGTTAGGCTGTTACTCCACTGATGACGAGGAAATGACGAGCTATTAATAATTTCATCGTTTGAGAAATAAATACAACAGATGTAATTATTTCGAGATAGATAATCTTTATTATATTCCGAGCAACACGTGAAGCAAAAACTTTATATTGTACGAAAGTTACGCTCATATGGAATGCATAATCAAATAATATATTGATAGGTGATATTTAGCTTGTTAATTTCTTTTATTCAAATCAGAATGTTAAATATTACTTGGAATTTTTTTGCCAGCAAAGATCAATTTTTATGAACGAAGAATATTCTATCCAAATTGGCAAAAGCTGTGGAACTGGAGTGGTGATAATATAATCCAATACAATATAAAAAAAAGAACTGATATTGTTGTTTCTGTATTGTTAAGAGCTAATAAAAATTTGGTCAGCTACTTTTATTTTCATACACTTTTCTAGTCTTATCTTTAGGTACTTTGGTTACTGGATCAAATGCCTAAGCATAAATTGAAATTGAATGTTTTTGCTTCAAATCAACCGATATTCGTTAGTTTATAGATTGTAGCCTTCTTTGCAGGATCGTGTCTTTGGTGAATGTTTATATTATTTTTTATGCCATTTAAGAGTAATCACAACTTAAGTTTGTCGATAAATATACAATAACATATTATTCGATTTTGAGGACTGATTAGTTAAAAGAAATAATCAGTTTTTTCGAAGTTTTTCACAAGTTCTGTTTTGAATGTGTTTTCGTAATCTAACATTAGAGTGAAAAGTAAATTTTTCAGAAACAGTCATTTTCACAGAATATATAGCTTCTAAAGCTGTGAATTAACATCTTGAAAATAATGTATCGGTAGTAAAGCTTACGTTGGTAGATACTCGTGTCTAACAAAAGCAATATATATTTATTTTAACAACACAAGTCTCAAATGGCTTAATTGTAGTACACTTACTTTAAACTGTCGTAATCGTGGGTATGTTATCATAAAGATACTTGATGTGAATGCCAATAGTTTAACAATGCTCGAGTGACATGAATGAGTTCGATTGGAACTAATTCACGCGAATGGAAATAAAGCGCACGAATGCTGTCATAAAGATGCGGCTATGTAGTGCTTCATTAAAATTGCTCTTAATTTAATTTTTCATTTTTGGTATCTTTAATGGCGTAGTGAATAAGGACTTTCAGCTAGTGTTGACACTATTTCACATGACGGTAACTAAGATATTACATAGATATCATCAGGTGGCCACTAGCCAAATATTAAGCCAGTCTTAAATAAAAAATATATTTATGTTTAAGTTATAAATAAATATTAAATTAAATTTAAATGTTTAGTATTATCTTAAATATCGTTTGTAAGCAATTAATTGCTTTTTATAATTTAGAGGGTCAATTTGGTTATTTATATATTTTTATCACTTGTTCATACATCACGTCATTACTTATATACTGTGGGGGCATTATTTATAATGCCTGATTAATCACTTTGTCCACGACAGTGAGAAGTTTGGAGTGTACCTTTAGTTGACTTATATGATGAGATTGCGATATTATGTTCCAGAACATCAATTTTGTAAAAGACCGTAATCCAAGCGCATATTTGAGGTGATACTACGCTCATAGGACAACAACAAGGGTAATCGTCTCTCGGCTCTTTCTACGACTCTTTCAAAGGTTTTCCAGAATAATGTGTCAGAAAGGATCTCACGTTATTACCGTATGAGAATGTTCTTTCTCCCATGAATAAACATAATTATCATAAGCACGTAACATTAAGTCAGAGTATAATAATAATATAATTTTCTCTGCCTACCCTGCAGGGATAAATTGTGAAGATATTGATAGAAGAAATGATTACATCGAAGAATAGGAAAAAGAAGAAAATAGATTTAAAAGTACTGTAAATCATTCTTCGTCGCCATGTACCATTATGAACATGCCCTACGGAGAGTTCGTAGTCGATATTATCTCTTAGTGCAAGGTCATCGTCTAGAGTAGTTCAAATCTGCGTAGTGCGTCTCATATACAACGTCCGAAATGGTTGCAATTTTCTGTGAATTGCAGCGGTTATGAAACTTATTTGGCGATGGAACTATTTTAGAAACCAGATGTTTTTTATACAGAGCTCTTAAATAAAAAATAAAAAAAACTAGTTTTATGTGCCCTCATCATTAACCTATTGATGTCACTACTGTTAGGACACAGGCCTTCTCTAGGGATGAAATGAAATAGTAGAATGGGCAATAATGGCTGTCAGCAATGGCCTGTTCTGTCTGTCAGGATGGAATGACAGTGCTTCGACATGCACGTTAAGACGTTGCATTTAGCACGTCGTTATACCCACCAATCGCACCGTGCCCTCGTTGTGGGTGATGGCGCATTCTTCCTATTTGATTACATACATAGTCCTGAGCCCCAGTAGAGGGAACATAATAGGCTGGTGATGATATATACTTATTTATTTCAATTTAACTTTGTTAATTTGCTGAAATATGATCACTATTTTTGTAAAACCCTGTCATATGATTTCCAAAGCTCTGGCACAAGGCTCCGCGGAGCACAATTTGAGAAACGCCGAATTAGAGTGTAGGTCAATACAATTAGTTCTCATTCCATGATCAAGATCTGGTCAACGTTTGACTATTGTTTAACCTTGTTATTTCCATTATTCATTTCGTTTTTATTGCAACATTAGATTAATTCAATATAATACTTCAATATATTTCAATGATTAGAATTGAGCCTTTCTAGTTCGGTTAAAAAATTGCTAATGTAATATTTTTTTGGTACGTTTAAATATTCACTAAGAGCTGTTTTAGTTTTATGGTAGGTGTTTACTATTATATTAATATATTTGATTGCTTTGATTTTGATAATAAAGTATTTGTATATAAACTCATTTAGAAATCAATCAAATATACAGATGACAATTTGACGAGTAAAAATATTTCGAGTACTTTAAATAGTCCAATAGAATCATTACATCTCCTATGTGGCATATTCTTTAGGTATTTTAGCTTTTTGCCGATTTTACTTTTTCCCCAAAATTTGTGAATACAGCTAAAATGACTTTAATGTTATTGATAGCCTCCTACGAACCTTTTATGTGACTATAATGGTTAAGGTGCCGGTTCTAACAGGCCAAAAATTCACAAAATTCACCTTGATGTTAGAGAATTTTGTGGTTATGAATGGCGGATAGAGGACGTTATTTGGCAACATATTCTCGTTTGATACCTACGGTATACGGTAGTAATAGTAATGTATTGACAATTTGACGAGTAAAAATATTTCGAGTACTTTAAATAGTCCAATTGAATCATTACATCTCCTATGTGGCATATTCTTTAAGTATTTTAGCTTTTTGTCGATTAAACTCTTTTTTCCGAAAATTTGTAAAATGTCTATAATGTTATTGATAGCTAAATTGCTAAATTGTCTAAAATATTATTGATAGCCTCCTATGAACTTTTTATGTGACTATAATATTTAAGGTGCCGACCCTAACAGGCCAAAAATTCACAAAATTTTGTGCTTATGAATGGCGGATAGAGGACGTTATTTGGCAACATATTCTCGTTTGATACCTGTATACGGTAGTAATAGTAATTTATAATGTTACAATTTATACATAATGGGATACTATTTGTTTGTAACCTACAAATTCGATATAGTTACAATGATTGCTTTTAAATTGACGTAATTTATTGTTGTACAAATTACTTTAATACAAAAGTGAGTGTGAATAAAGTAAAATGTAAGACAATTGACTATTCAACTAGATAACATTATGTTAAATATTTTTAAAAAGCATTTGTATCATAAAACGTTGTCTTGGACGCACTGTAATTTTTTTATTGTATTTATTAACGTTTTGATTTAAAGGAATATCTTTGAAATATTAAAAATATTCTAGAAGTCTTAAGAAGATTTTTAGAAGTCTTTGCGATAGTTGATGACTTAATATTTTAAAGTTTGCAAATTTGCTGATACGGCATACTTTCTATCGCCTTAGGGAAAAATTAATGCTTTCTAAAAAAAAAGTCTAATTTTGTGGTAATAGATTTATGGTCACCCATGCTAAGCCCCTTTATTATAATGTAGTATTAATGCTTCTAAAATTTAGTCTTGAGAATAAAAAATACTATGAACAATGAATGGAATGTGATCTGGGAAATCATAAAACGTACCTATAGTTAATAACTGAATTCACATGTTTACCAACGAGCACATAGTTACATATAATTTTTACGCAGGCATATCAAATTCATTAATCGCTACACGTAGTGCAATCTCTAATTATTGTCCGTTTTTCTAGGCCGCCGCGTCATAAGTAGCTGGAATTTGCGTAATTCATACACATATACAATATGCGGTAATTATAGCGCCGAAATATTATGGAATGTACGCGCGCGATACGCACGCAACAACGTGTGTCCGCAGGCAGACTAATTATTTGGCCACTGTTTAACCTTCGAGAATTTATCTACAGAAAAAAAAAATGATATAAGTGCACAACTTTTTCTGTTGTTATTTACGAAGAAACTTTTTTCCAAATTTCATAATTCATTTACTTTAACAACATTTTTATGTTTATTTTAATATTAGTAAACAAAAAACGGTCGAGTATGAATACAGTAGATATCTTTCAAATATTTTATCTGCAATGTTAGCAGATTCAAAAAAATATACCGTACTGAACAAAATATTAAATTTGGTGTACTGACTACACGATTTTCCTGTGTAAGAGTCGCCCGTGTGTTGTTCTTGATAGAAGTAATTGAAGCATTGACCAATGGCATTTTCTATTACTAGTTGGCAGTGATTATTCTTTTGTAACAATTGACATGGGCCCAATCAAACCATATAAGGCGAGGTTTAACTTTAAAAATTTTTAGACAAGTTTTATATTAACGCAAGAGCATTTTGTGGAAACATAAAAATAATAATTGTGGAAACGATTGTACGTAATTTTTTAAAACAATTTTATACCTCTTAAATTTTATCAAATATGTTCGTCGTATATAGGATAGGTATTTTTATAAAAACTAAGGTTTTTTATAATCTTTTGTATGAAGATTTTTTTAGGGTATTTTTTTCTCACTTACTTAACAAATTCGATCCGTATTACTGATGAGAATTAGTTTGCGAGTGATAACCGTACTACAACCCGTTCTTAAGGTTTATATTGAACATATATTTCGTTTTATAAGTAGTTGCGGTTGATTAGTTTTGTTTATGAGTTATTTATGTTGCCATACAAAGCCAAAACACATTACGTTTATGTATATGTATTGAAGTGCTGATAGCAGCATGAATTTTAATAGATCCAAACGCTTACTTAAAATGGAACGGTTTGTTAATTGTTTGTGGTCGTGTTCTTTTTACGTAATTGTTTCAATGTATGAATAGGTAATATGATATTTTATAAAACGCGAGAGTAAATAATATACTTACTAAATAAATAAGAAGCTTATGTGAAATATGTGTTTTATTAAAGTAAGGATATTTTATTTCATATCTATGCATGTTGCCTGTTTTTGTCTATGGATAAAGAGGACAAGAAGTCTTCTAATTGGAATCTCGCAAATGTAATACGGAGTTGCGCTTACTCAATTCATAGATTTATCATGTTAGTTTTAACGGCAATATTAAAACACTCTATCAAACATGCAACATAAAAAATATGGAACTTTTGTCAATAACTACTACACTACTATTTTATAAAAAGAACATGATGTTATTTAGTAGATATTTAAATGATTAAAATAAATAAATAATTGTGAACAGTTATGTAGAAGTAATTAATGAATTCCTCGCGATGTTAGGTGATAATTATAAGACTTTAAAGGAACTTGTGTGAATAATGAAAGATTGCAATATAATTCAGCAGCTGATTTATTTACAGTAGGCTATTAAACACATTATATACACACATAAATATCACATTCATCAGTCATCTTTCAGGCACGCTATGTTAGTCTAGTAGAGGCCATGATGATGTCCATGAGAGAGGAGCAGGGGTGCGGCGTGGACGACGGGAGCGTGGACCACGGGGGCGGGGTGGTGACCGGCGGTCTTGTGGACGACGGCGTTGAAACTGTAAACAAAATTGAAAAATTAAAGGATTTGACTGTCACCGAACTATAAATTAAAGGAAACAAGTTGTATGCCTGGCTAAACATAAATCTCACTGCAGTCGGGGGACCCCTTAATTTATAAAGTTCCACAGAACGGTCAGATATATAAACATCAAACAAGACACACTTCTTTTTTGAGTGCTGTTAAAGTAAATGATAATCGTCAATACAGTTAATAAGAAAATACATCGCCTTGATTTCGAAGTGAACAGTGAAAACACAAAAACTTGAAACAAAACACAAATGTACGAAGAAGTTGCGGTCTTTTCTGTTCCTTTGGAAGGATTATCCGAGACGAACCAAAAAAAAATTTTTTTTCATTTTCCGGTTTGGGAAGTTTTTTGATTTAACAAAAACGGTAAAAATTATACCGTAGCTTATAATAAATACTTAATTTACAGGAATCAAAAATAAACCCAATAAATCCACGTTAAACATAATTAATAGACATCATTTGTTTGTTTGTTTAACTTCACAATGGATAGATATTTGTGAATAATTATGAAATCGCTAATTATTTCCATTGCAAACATTATCATTCATCTTTCTTTGACCAAGTGGGTGAAGCCGCGGTTAACAGCTAGTAAGTAATAAATATTAACCAACAACACATTATGTACGCAGATTAACGTGAGTAGCAAAAACATGTGTATTGCCCACTTTGTTGTGTTGGTTTGTTTACTACGACCGATATTAATAAAGTACAGTAAAACATTAAGACTACGCAACTATGACTTACTTATGAAACCTCATGAACTGGTTTGTAAAAGCACTATATTTTCACTAAGAGCACTATATTTTAAATAAATATTAAACAAGTACTCTTTTTAGTCTCTTCACTTTATTTTTGATTTTCTGAATTAAACAAAACAATATTCGTTCTCTTAAAGATTTTTTTGATTTGAAACTATTTGAAACAAATATAAAGTTGGCATTTCGTCAATTTATAAATACCTACAGCTTTTTTCGAGCCTCCACGTTTCGGAATTTTTAAAGTTGTTATATAAAGAAAATTAGGTATTTACAGTTTTGCCTCTTTAACTAATTTTTAATTTGTTATTTACTTTAGGTATATTTTTGTATAGTAATTGTTTAGACGCACGATGTTCATCGTGTTTACATTACACCTAGGAGTTGAGACATTCTCAAGTAAACATTAGTTTCTATTCCTTATGAAATAACTGGTTTGTATCTGAACATACCCATGGTGGTCATCGGCGGTGTATTCTACTTTGCGCACGGAACCGTCGGGCTCAACCAAGGAGTAGCTGCCATGTACGGCGCCACCGTCGCGGCTCTCGTGTTGGGATTTGTGGTCACCGGTGTGGGGGTCAGCCACGGAGTATGAGTAATCGTATTTGGGGTGAGACTGTAAAACATTACAAATAAAAAATATACAACATAAATCATCATCATCACATCACTTCAGCCGAGAGACGCCCACTGCTGGACATAGGCCTCCCCCAAGGTTTACAACATAAATGGTTTTTCAATAAATGCATGAAATAAACTTTGTAAATATGTGCGATATTTTTATTGCAGGTTTCATTTCAAAACCAATCCAAAGAAAGCCTAATCTTTAAAGCCGAAGTCAATAGACTGACTAGTAGGGACATAGTGTACTTCAAACATATTGCTGTTGTTTTGGAGTAAACAATACATGTCGTTGTTTTAAAAAACTTCTTTAGGTTACGTTTTTAGTTAACGTTATCACAATTTAACTTACGTATTCGTGTCCGTGGCCAAGAGCGATGGGAGCAGCATGGACGATGGGAGCGGCGTGGACCAAGGGGGCAGCGTGGACAATGGGGGCAGCGTGGACAACGGGGGCGGCATAGTGAACCGGGGCATAGTGAGCAGGAGAGTCGTGACGCACTATGCTTTGGGAGGACACCGCTCCGTGATGAAGCAGGCCAGCGTTGGCCGCGGCCAGTACGGCGCTAATAGCGAAAACCTGCAGAACACGTTACCAATTATTTTTTACTCTTAAAAAGTATATTTGCGCCAAATATACCTTTCTTCTTTCTTTCCAGAGAAAGAAAGTAGTTTCTACTATGACCCTGATGTCTCATATGGATCCTAAATACAGGATTTATTTAGGATTTTCATAAATATATCCCGATTTACTTAAGTAATATAAATATCAAATCTTATAGTTGAATTATTCCTTAATTTGTTGTTTAGCCGAAACGACTTACTTTAGTGAACATTTTGCACTAGTTAATCAGAGCAGGTGACTGATACTATTATCGGTCCGTTGTATGACTTTTATATGAAAAGCAATACGGAGCCGCGGTCCTGCTAGTGGTGGGGTGGCGGTCACCGCAGTTCCGTAACTTTGACACCGCGAGGTCGCGCGGCATACCTATACGATAATTCACTGTCCCCCTCTCAGCCCTTCCCTGGACACCGTTTACCCTCCAGCTAACTTCTAATAATTATTGTCTCGGAAACGTTAGTATTGCATGAGTAATTGCAGTTTAGACCAAGTTTTTATTACGACTTTAACCGCAGTTGACTGATTTAGATTCTTAGTAATTTTATTGATTTTGAAGGTTTGTGGTTAATAAGGGTGATTGTGTGTTATGAGAACGTACGTTAACTTTAATTATGCAGATACTACTATATGTAAAAAAAAGTTTAAGAAATGTTCGAGTAAACTTGTTCCTAGCGGCGAAGACGCCCGCTAATCTTAAAGCGTAGTCTAGCGATATGTTTTTCAATAAAATTCCAAAGCGCTATCTTTTTAATGGTTTTACTACTTTTGTATAAAAATTACTACTACTTTATTGGCCTCGGATATGTTTGAATTTGAAAAAAATGTATCTTCAAGTAAATGATTTTTCGATTGAGTACTTAAAGCTACAGTTTGGCAAGAATGCTCAAGGTATTAAGTACACTTTTTTCCTTTTGTGCGTACAGTATAAAATTAATATACATACAAAACTAAGATAAAGATGCATATTACTTGCGACAACACTTTATAAGAGTTGTATGTATAGGTAGATATAATATTAGTATTTAATTATTTGGTTTTTGGACCATTGGAATGAGATGGTATTGTATCATCAAAGCATATCTGATCTCATATAAAATCTGAAATCGTCTGCTAAAACTTATAAAGGATGATACCACCAAACCAATCAAAAACAACCATATTCCAATAAAATATAATAAATTTTGTAAAAGGTTTGTTTTTGTTTAGCATTTTTGTTGTAGTTGTCCCTAGAAGGTGTATTTTACACTGATATAATGTCATATTAGGTTGGGGAAAAAGTATTTTCGCATATAGTATGCATAAACTTGTAATCAAATCTTTCTGGCTGTGCCATTTGAATCTGGCTGGTTTCCTATCATTAAAAAGTTTCAATTTTAGAGAAGATAACTCAGAATCAGAAAGTTGTGTGATTTTTATTTGTTTTTCTTACTGTCAAAATGAGTGAATCTGATGAAGAAATTCAATACATTTTAAAATTTTATTACAAAAAACTAAGAAGGCAACGCAAGCCGCAAAAAAAAATTGTGAAGACCTAGTGCAATTTCTATCAGAGTACCAAAAGATGGTTTAAGCGTTTTCAGTCCGGAAATTTTGATGTTAAAGATGAACATCGCTCCGGTTGCATTTTTACGGATAAAATGGATGTCATTTTGAAAAAGTGGAGCAAGATCGGCCTATACGCTTTACGACGTAGCTGAAGAACTGGATAGTTTTGGCGTATGTAAAAAAGCTGGGTACATAAAAAAGTTAGATGTTTGGGTGCCTCACGAGTTCACAGAAAGAAACCTAGTGAACCATGTACTCATTTGTGATTCTTTATTACAGCGTAATAAAACTGAACCATTTTTGAAGAAGCTGATAACTGGTGACGAAAAGTGGATCATGTACGACAAGAACGTGCTAAAAAGATCGTGGTCGGTCAGGTTCCACAGATGGTGACGAAACCTGGGTTAACTTGCAAAAAGGTGATGCTGTGTGTATGGTGGAATTAGAATGGCATTTTTCATTATGAGATGTTATCACCTGGCAAGACATCGATTCTGAACTCTACTGCGAAAAAATGATGAGATTAAAGCAAGAAGTTGAGAGAAAGTGGGCAGTGGTTTTTCATCGTGATAACAAAAAATAGGAGAGTCTGACTGGGAGGTGTTAATGCATCTGCTATGAACTCCTGACCTTGCACCTTCAGATTTCTATCTATTTCTGACTCTTCAGAATTTTTTAGGCAGTGTCAGGTCAACATTACGCAAGGACTGTCATAACCACTTGTCACGGTTTTTTGATCAGAAGTCCCAAAAATTGTATAGCAATGGGATTATGTCCCTACCTACAAGATGGCAAAAGTTATCGAACAAAATGGTACCTATAAACTTTTAAATAACTAAAATTTTGTAAATAATAAAAAAATGTTTCGAATTTTAAAAATGTGAAGAAACTTTTCCCAAACCTATTATTTCACTGCGGATTTTAGTAATCCTGAGAATCCATCAAGTTTTTGTAAGAGTCACCAATTACGATACATCGTAAAAAACGTTACTAGCTAAAATAACGAGTCAGTAGATGATTATCGATCGATACAGAACTGCACCTAATGGATATTTTATCAGCCACTGAAAGGAAATGGTGTAATTTCTATTCGTGTATATCGCAGGAGGTCAATTGCAAAAATAATCTGCATAAATTTAATTATATGTGACAATTGACATGTGAGTGCTCCTAAAACGTGAATGATCATATTATATATATTGCGAAAGATAGTATCGTATGCACTAAACCACATGCCTGCTGGTAAGTAAAGCCTATATTTGGTAGTATTCAGTTTCCTAACCGATGTTCGTAATGCGATCACAACACTTTGATATCGCAAGTTAATTGTTGCAATAACTTTACACATGAACGACTGACTAAAATTCATTGTTTATTATCCATAATAGTATGGGCTACTGCTCGAGGCAGTACTTTGTAATGTAATTATCGATACTGCTCCGAAACTTTGTTATGATGTTTCGAAATAGAGAAGAAAAAATCTTGTTTACGATTCGATCGATATATCGATTAAGAAAATAGAACATTTATCGGCAAAAGTGTGAAATTAATTATAAAATATGGAGATGTATTCTAGAGATCAATTCCTGGATAATTTATTTTACAGAAGTGATTCATGTGTTATTAATTTTATTTATTACAAACTATGATGATAAGGTTTTTTTTCGATAAAATATCAATGTTAATATTTCAGATGCATAAATTAGCAATGAATTAAGCAATTATGATTCATATCTTCGATCGGAGCACGCTTAATGAATTATTCGAAATTTCTGTGGTTATTACATATTTATAACAGAAGGGCTTTGTTTAACCATGACCATTTAGTCTTTCCGTTTTGTTAAAGCACACTTAAATATGCGAGAATGTAGAATTATTTCAGATCTGAAGAATTAACCTTATTTTTAATGACCATATTACGGAGTTTATGGCGTAATATACTGCCACAGTAATATCATATAGTAGTAACCATTAGTGGAAACCGTTTTTATGTAATTTTCTTTTAATATAAAGTAGCATGAAAGAAAAGAAAAGAAAGAAGAATGTACATACATTCTTCTTTCTTTTCTTCATTTTTTACTTTTATTTAAACTTTCTTTATTTTACCTTAACCTTTGGAAGACTTAATGGATATGGTCGGAAAAAAATCCTAATTCTGAACCCGAACCCAAATTTCTCATTGTTGTCGGGGGACTTCTAAGATTACATTTGTTCCACAGAACGGTCCCCCGACGATCAGAATATTGTTTCGCCAATCCATAATACAACGTGTTTCTTTTATTTTGTAGTTCGATTTTGGCGGACGTGTTTTTTATTATTTATTTTTAATTAACAGATAACATTCTGTGAAATAAATTCATTCTAGTCTTAGTTAAGATTTCTTCTATTTCCTCAAAATTATAAGTTAGAAGTTTAAATGTTCGAAGTTTTTGCAATTAACCAAAAAGGAGCAGGAAGACAAAGAAGATTGTAGAAAAGAGGTGACTCGTTCGCGTTCCCCCGATAATAAATATATATTTTTGTACTTATTTGCTATATTCTCTCACTGAATGTGTAGTTCACTCTTATCTCAGTTTGTCTCACGAGAAAAGTTTGCGAACTAAAATAATTTTAATTAACAATATTAAGGAAATGTCATAGATTAAAAAAGAAGAAGTAGAAGATTCACGATGATAATGAAAAGATAAAATGAGGTGACCCGATGGTGTTTATTGTGTGTAGTGAATTATTTTACTGAATAGTTTATTGTTCACTTAAATATATTTTATCTCGTTAAATAACACTTTTCTAAACACACGATTAGTGAGCTATTATAATATAAACGTCAAAATATTTTCTTGATCTTGACAGCTAATTTGCAAGTTCCTTTATTAGATCCTTTTCAGAAGTTTGGGCCGTTCGTGAGCCAATTTATCCGGTGCGCTATCGGCACGGAAGCTTGAAGGAGATTACGTGGTTCGAAAATATTGGCTTTGTTGTTCACAAGGTTAGTAAATCTGATTGAAAGGAGTAATGCTTTGGTTCAGAGGTCGCTCACCCGAATTCCGGCCGTGGCTGGTTAATAATTAATCAAAGCTTGTTGACAGCTTTTTATTGTATGTTATTTATTCTGTATTACGTTTCAAGATTTTTTTTTAATAAGTATCTATAACAATCACTAGTATTTTAATGAATTTTGCATATGAATCGTTTTTTACATTTTGAATAAACCCAACATAGTTAAGTTTAGTTAGTAATAGAAACTTTATCGATCATAAGAATTGAAATATATAAAAAATACATCACAATGGTGCATAGTATAGCCAATCTGCGATCGCTCAGTTCCTAAAATAGCGAAAAGTAATTAAAATAGCTAAATTGAATACATATATTATGGATATAGCAATTATCGTCAATCAGTAAATTAACTCGAGCAGTGTATCTGGTGTTGTCTTAGATTAAGAATAATAATTATTGGTTTTGTGGAAAATAAAGATGTGATAATATACTTAAAGTGGTTATATTTAAATGAACATATTATATTAATCTAGGTTCAAGTTTCTTGCGTGTCGTAAAAACATAATTATAACCGCTTATCAGAATCAACAGTCACTTTATAAGATACAATTGCTAAGTAGTCGTTCTGTTACACTGTGAGCTTTTATCTAAATTACTCTTGTGAAATGGTAAGTATACTTAGAAATACAAGTCAAGGTAAA